GTTGGCAGGCCGACGCCGTTATAGAACGGGGCAGGGGCTCCCGTGCTGGTATTTGATTTAATGGCCGGCCATTGAATTTGCCCGTTCGAGTAGCAATTAAAGATCGCACAGCGCAGACGCCGACCGAACCCACCAATCCGAAATAGAGAAGAGACGCGTGCGGGCTTACGACGCGTCGTCCTGCTGGTAAGATGAAATGGGCTTGTGAATGCAGTTGTCAGATTTCGGTCTTTACTCTGAAAAAAAAGTTACGGTCTAAAAGAAGTACGGCCGAAAGCTCTGGGTGCTGGAGCCGTACTGCCGTGCTAAAAAAAATGCCGTATGAACCTTCAGGCGTTGCTAAATTTCCTTTCATAAAACGCTAATGTTCTGGTAAATTTACGAATGTTTCCCTCCCAATTTTTCAGATAATTTAGTTCACAATTTCACCTAAAGATTCTGAAAATTTAAAGGAAAATATTCACAACTTTCCCCCAAAATGAACATTCTATCAAAGGACATTCGGCAACTCTCGAATGTTCCTACGGCGTTCTTCCTTACCATGGCAGCGTAGCTTTGATTGCTCCTGGTGCTACGCCCGGAACTTCCGGCCTCTGAGCCCGGAACGCGGACGGTGTTTTTGTATAGTTCGTAAGTTCGGCTTCGACGGCCGGAGTTTTTTTTTTTTCAGTGTAATCATTCAGATGGTAAATCGAAACAACCATGATCTTGACTTAACATTATTGTTGTTAAAGAAATGTGCGTCGACCTAAAGCATGCATAGAAACCCTGGTAAAAATTGGCAGTAGAATCTGTGTTCCAAAATACCATAGACCTACAGCCGGCTGTAAGATTTCTAATAGCTTCTATAGCCGGCTACACAATTTCTTATAGCCGTTTATAGCCGATGGCGATTAAGCAACAGCCAGGCGATAAAGTGTTTGCTAAACGTTACTAATTACGGATGCTAGGACTTAGTGAGTTTTTCGAATACTGCTCTCTTTTTGGGCCGTAGTATCTTGATTTATTTTGCGAGGAAAGCTCCGTACTCTTGATGGATGCCTGACATTACTAATTACTAATATTTTAGAGCGCCTTCAGTTTCGTATGATGTTGTGCAATACCTCTGGTGTGAAATAGTTGCTTCAAGCGCCGTGGCACGCTGCGGCGCGGCAGGCGGGCAGCCATCGCGAAACGCGCATTGGCGCCTACAAACCTAACAGGGATACTTCACGCGTTGCGCAATGCGTGAAGTATCCCTGTTAGGTTTGTAGGCGCCAGTGCGTCGTCGCTCCACGTTGTGTTAAGCTCTAATATTTAATCTGGCGGAGTCAGCGTTATTCAACTCATGATTTTGAAATGTTTGCACATCCTGTATGGATTATTCTCATTTTAATGGATGAACAAAAATATGTATTAAAGGAAAATACAATGTGTGTTTTGTAAATATTAAGGTGGTTCCGTATCAAACTTAATGATTTCCATAGCACACGAATTTCTACAAAATTTCTTATAGCCTTTTATAATCGATGGTGAAAAAGCAACAGCCAGGCGATAAAGTGTAAAGCCCGGCGATAGAAACTATATCCCGGCTGCATAATTTTTTATCGCTTCGTATAGCCCGGCCGTATGATTTTCTCCGCATTCTACAGCCAGCTATATGATTTTCTGTAGCCTTCTTTAGCCGGCTACAAGAATTCCTATGGTGTTTTGAAACGCAGCTCTTATCACCAATTTTTACCAGGGAATTTAAAATTGAACAGAACCAATTTCAACTTATTATTCCAACGATTTGAAATGAAATAATATTTTCCATAGAAAATTAGAATTTTATTTTCCCGACAAAATAGAACGAAACCCGCTCTCCTAAGAAATTTGCCCACGTGCGTTATACGATAGTGTTGCAATTTTTCGTGAAAAATAAAATATTGAAATTCAACGTGAAATATATTCAGAAATTTCAGAAATTTTTGAAAGATGTTGAAAGACACCGATTCTTTTTCATGTTTCACAAAATGGAAAAATTGTGACCTTCTTTTTATTTATGTTTGTTTTAGTGCGGGTTGCATGCTCTAGCCCCTGAAAAATATGAAATATTTCAGAGCCTCGTGAAATTTCATGAGATATTTCAAATGCTCGTGAAATTTCTTGAATTTTCTCATGGAAATTGCCTATCTTTCTAATTGCTCATTTCATGATTGGAACCCTGCTCTAAGATGCCTTATTTCTCCATGGTTAATGCACACATGTGGTCACCCTCCTATAACATAAAACGACACTAAAATTTAGTTTTGAAAAAAATGAGAAATTAGTGAAGTAAAAAATACTATAATTTTTAACTTTTTGGTTTGGCTTTCCCCGCATAATAGTGAGGACTCAGCACTATTTTCCCACCTTGTTACACACAGTTCAAGCCACATTTTTAGTGTTCTTTTTTTTATAAATAAATTATCGATGTACACGAATATCAATAAAACTTGGCAACTTCAGCAACGAAGCTTCATTGCTTTGGTACAGACGCTGGTAGAGGACTTTCACTGAGGTTGAGCTGAGACGTTGTGTCGCGTCGCACAGTAGAATCGCCCGGAAATCACGGAGTGGACAACGCAAGTGACGCGATAAAAATCGAAGTCGGTTAGAGGCAGTGCAGTGGGCTGTATAATGAAACTGATCGACAAGTAAGGCAATGGGAAAACTGGATGGGGATCTTTTCGATTGAAACCGGTGGTTCTGATAGACCAAGGGAGAAAATAATGGATTAACTATAGGGCTGCCGTTAGTCTTTTATTTATCTCCTTTGTGTCCATTACAACCACCTACTTCCACCAATAGGAACGCTCCGTTGTCTGTTCGTCTTCTCTGTCTACTGCTTTCTCAATCAATTTCAGTAATCAGCCTGCTGGTATCTAAAAACTTCTACTTTGATCCTTGTTGGGCTATTATATGAATCAAGTGCTTCCAAAAGGGAACAGGTCTATTCCTCGATGAGTCTTATACTGAGCATGCCCTTTTGGCTTTTATGCAAGCCAAGGCTCATAAAAAATGGACTTGTTCCTTTTGAAAACAACTGATTCATGTACCTTGATGTTGGTCACACCACATCATTGAACACAGCCTTCGGAAATAATAACTCAAGTGTAAGTCGCATCTATTAAATAAACGATAAATAAATACATACATACATACAAGATGTCATTAAAAGAATACAATTATACTAACTAATTAACTATAATTTATGGGTACGAATCTTAGGGTAAGGATTCACAATTGTATACGTAATTATTTTAGGGATATCCTGAATAAAAAATTGAAGTGAAATTTCTTTAAACATTTTGAGGTATTAGCCATTTCAAATAAAATTCCTATTAATATACACTGCTGAAAGAAATTAAGTACTTTGCCGCAATATAACAGTTTAAACCTCAGTTATGCCATAAGCTCCTACACCGATAACTATCTCGGGATGTGTTTATAAAATGTTTATGCGCTTCTTAATATATTTCTTTTGGGTCCTATCTTGTTAACACATGCACAATCGATATTTGAAAAAGTTCCGTACCATATGTATGACAGCAGATAGAGATCTGCTCTTCTTGCGGTGTGAACTTCACCCCCTAACACGGCGGGATCAAAACTGTGTAGACTTAACTCCTTATTCACGTTACTCGGGTATTGGGGGCAAAGTAGACTACATTTTGCAGAAAAGAACTGGCTTACTACTGACTGATTTTACGAACAATAAATGCTATATTAATTTCCCTATGTATATACTTTATTTTATGGATATGCTAAAAGTATCGCTCCTGCACTGCAGAATGCGGTCAAAATAGACTCTATGACAAAATGCACTCCAGATTTCACTCCGAGATTTCTGAAATGCATTCAATGTTTCAATTTTAAATGCTTTTTTGTCAAATGCAAATCTCACTCAACAACTTCCGAATGTTACTCTACTGAAACTTTTTGCCTCCCTTAATTTAAAAATCTAAATTCTCGTATATACACCCATCTTCAAAATTCTTTATAAATACGTTAATAGCCTAGGATGCTGATGTCTATAATAAAAATAACTAACTAACTAACTAACTATGTAGGAACATCTATACTATAAGCTCCAAGACCTCCTAATTTTGCGAAACTGGTGACGCTTAGTTCCAGCGTTCTACCGGGCCGATTTTCATGATTTTTGCGGCTATCGACGGGCAATTGTCTCTAGATAAGCCAACTCTTTTCAGATTTTCATAATATGGCCCAGGTTTTTTTATATTACGTGGTAAAGTTGCGAATTCTCCCATATAAACAATGTAAATTTATGTGTTTTGTCATAGTTCGTTTGAGCATTCTACTGGGCCGATTTCCATGATTTTTGCGTAAATCGACAGGTAATAGGCTCTAAATGAGCCCGCTCTAATCAGATTTTGGAAAAAGGACCCAGGTTTTTTTAAAATCACGTTATAAAAGTGAGTGAATTTACAGAGTGCTCCGGGACTGCTACCGCTATGCGCGGGAGGATGCGCAGTGGTCGAGGAGGTTGCGCAGTAGGTGTGTAGCCTGCGCATCAGCTCTACACTTATCTACACAAGATTTCCGCTGATTACTTCAAGATGAGCGGTGGCCGAGTCGTCTACGACGTCGGAAGTGTCTACATTGATCAAGGTGTGAGTTCGATCCCCGACTCCAGAGATACTCAATAGTTACCTGGATTAAATTGTTCGTTGTTTTACTGTTATATTTCATCAAGTAGTCATTCCAACTTATCCAACTAAGTAGTCCTTTTGACTTCAAAAATTTTTTTTTCTTTATTCATCAAAACCAAAAATTATTTCATTCTATTAAGTATACCTCATATCGAATTTTTTTGGGGGAAAAATAAAACTAATACTAATAGGAGGGTAAAAATAGGGCCGCGAAGCGGCCCATTGATGGCGCGGAGCGCCTTCGGGGGGTTGGGCCGCGTAGCGGCCAGGGGGCGTAGCCCCCTAGTTAAAGATATCGAATTAAAAGTTCTTAACGAGTACAAATAAACAATCCACCGGCGCGGTATGCATCTATATTATCACAGCAACATATAAATGGAAGATGCAAAGCTTGAGATGGGCATGACAATAAAGTCCGTTTCGTCATCTTTAAACGGTATCTCCCGCTACCTCCTCTTGCTTCATTTTTTTGTAGTAGCTGTACACCACCAAAATTAAGTACACGGCAAGTACTAGGAAAAAAAATACATCAAGTTTAGCAGAGATACTAATATTAATCAGTGATTGGTAATGAAATATGTACGTCCACAACTTCACACTCTTTGAACATGGGAATGAAATCCGAGGAGAATTGACTCTAGAACCTATTTTGCCTATATTGCTCAGAGGTCCGAGTGCTATGGATACGGGTATGGAATGAAAAAGGTAAGAACGACATATTAACTCTTTGAACTGATAGAATCCGCTCCGCAATTATGTCATTGCAGTAATTTGGGGCGGGCAAAATAGGCTCCGGGGTGAAATGCACTCCGGATTTTACTCCAAGTTTTAAATAGTAGACGGAAAAGAGATTTTAGTACCAAATAACGCAAAATTGAGGTGTTCGAAACAAATTGAGGGTTTTACAACGACGGTGAAACTCCCATACTGCCGTGCTAAGGAAGAACGCCGTATGAGCCTTCAGACGTTGCCAAGTTTCCTCCGATAAAAACCGAATTAACTGGGAAAATTGTGAATATTATTTTCCAAAATTTTCTGACAATTTTGTACGCAGTTTAAGCTAAAATATTTAAAATCTTCGAAAAAAAAATATGCATGAATATTGTAAAAAATATATGTCTTATCGAGGAAAATTTGGCAACTCTCGAATGTTCATACGGCGTTCTTCCTTAGCACGGCAGCATACCACGTACCTTGGTTTGCGACGTTGCAGACTTCCTGTCATTCTTAATTTTTAAATGGAAAACTACGCAATGTCAATTTTTAAAAACTATCCAATGAGTTTTCATCTCTGTGCGAAGAAAAACTCCGTAAAAACTGCAAAGGATGATTTTGATTTGTTCTCCTTTGAAAAAATAAAAGAGAAGCGGTGATTTGTAACTATCGCATAGGAGATCCGTGGCTTAGAATTTTCGACGTTGATAAACATTTTCTCACAGAAAACGCCAAAAATATCAAACTAAACTGCACGTAAGCAGAGAACTGGCGGATCAAATCATGAAGGCAGGAGAAAAAGTAAATTCAAATTATCATGATTCGTAATAACGTCTATGATATGACGTGATTCTAATACTTACGGATTTCAATGATTTGTACGGGAGGACTCAAAATTACGGTAGTGTAGGCTTTCCTGAGTGTTGGCTCAAAGATTCGTTCGGCGTAATACTTCAAAGGTGTTACACCCACGAGCAAACTTAGGAAGATGTTATTTACAATGAACACCACACCTGCCGTCAGAAATGGACGCATCTCATTCGGCGAATTCTGGAAAATTATAACACTTAATAGAGTTCCACGTGTACACCATTTTGTAAGTAGTTGAAAAAAGAACCTAGGCGTTGTGGTTAAATTTGTTTTTAATTACTTAGAAATCTTTCAGCTTACGCCAGCATCAGAGCTTTCATAATTTTTTGAAACATAAATATAATCATATTTTGCAGTTTTAAACGATATTTTACATCACGGATATAGTTGTAATTTTGTCAGAATTAAGAGAACGGCATATGTATATAATGAGATCGTTGCCCCTATGAAACTGCCTTAATAACTGCAAAATGTGACTATGTCTATATGTTGCAAAAAGTTATAAAAGCTCTGATGATGGCGTAAGCTGAAAGATATCTAAGTAATTAAATTATTTTTACCCACAACACCTTGGTTCTTGTTTCACCTGCATTAAATTATAACACGTTTCTCATTTTCTCTACATTTCCCTTTCCAGAAAAAATATCATTTTATCTTAATTTGATCTCTAATCTCTTACTGACATCATTGCTACGTGAATACATGGTGGCGCGAGGATGCCAATCAAAGCACACTAACTTTAATTTCATCACGTGAGCTATACATTTTACAATTAAGAGCTACAATTTTTGGCTCATCTTAGAAACAATGCATGTGCAATAAGTTTCCATGTGTAGATAAGTGTTTTCACAAATGAGTCAGATATTATGGTTCCTAATTTCAAAATGTAGTCCGTGTGTCATGCAATAAAGGATAAATAGAGGGGAATTAGTGATTCCTCATGATTTCATTGAGTAATTAGTACAATATATGATAACCGAGATAGACTGGCATGTACCCATGGGTATTTTCATCGGCATGGTTTTTTTATTCTGATGGAGATCAAATGTAAAATGACGTTCAAAATTATCATTATTTATGTTCGCTTCACTGCTGAACTCTAAAGACTTATTAGCATTCACTTTAAGTGAACTAATGAGGGTGGTTAATAGTTGCGGGGAGCTGAAATTTCGAATGATCTGTAATTTATATACATCTTTAAACATTGAGCTCCAATATAAAGCCAAGAGGATTTGTTGAAAAACATTTTTCCCGTGCTGGAAAATTTCTCTCACCTTCGGTAATATTTTACCATGCAAAGATTGTCAAAATTTTCTTATAAATCCTCGTCTCGTCATTTTGTAGGAACTTAGGAAAAATACGGGTTTTTTCTTCTTTTTTTGCAAAACCTTACTATTTGTGAGCGCTTTTAAATTAAAGTCAAATAGCAGCTTTTTAAAACACAATATTTCGTGAACTCTCTAATCGCACGCGAACGATTAAATGTACATCATGTGAGGCTCAGTTACTTTGCAACAGTAAAAAAATGCCCTGAACGGTAAGTCTTTTAGAATAAGTATTAGTTTACCATTTTGATCGCCTGTATAAGCAAACATGCAGAAACTGAGAAAATGATCAGAACGATGTAGCACTCAATGATAAGTAGCCTCACGATGGCATCACCTGAGAAGAAAAAGAAGGAATGTATGTCAAATTAAAATTTCAAATTCCTGCGATATCTCAGATTTTTGAAGGTAGGATTTATGAACTCATAGAATTAGCAGCAGCAGGGCCGGATTAGCCGGGGTGCTATAGCACCACAGGTCCCAAACTCATCGGATCCCACAAGTGATTTTTTTATTTATTTATTTATTTTTGTTTTTTTATGGCCACCATGTTTAGTTCTTTATCTTGGAGAGTAATTCGATCAGATCCTCTAGGAGCCATTGAGATTTAAAAGACAGATTTGGAAAAAACTGGAATTCTGGGTGTCATGGGGCCCTTAAGTAAATTTTAGCATTTTGGACCTCTAATTACTAGTAGGATTTTAGAGCCTAAAACTGAAATTTTGCTAGACTTAGGTATTTCAAATTTCCTTGAGAAAAGTCATAAAATTTGATCTAGAGGACGCGGAATGAAAAGGAACATTCCAAATTCATTGGTGAAATAAGGAATGGAGGTTTACTGCGGCCATCGATTCAAACGTCCAGTTGCCATATATTCTTTTTTGACTTAGATGAGTCAAATTATGAGCCAGGATAATTTATGAGCACTTTAAGATTGAACGGTTTTAATAATGCTCTAAATTTTCATTATTTTATCACTGTATATGTCAGGCACGCACAACGTGTGTAACGGTATAAGAGATAATGGTATTGAGAATGCTAATGATATCAGCCCAAGTAGCACAGTGCAACGAAAATATTTAAATTAAATTGCAATTTGATTTCAATAAAATTTTAATTTTTACCATTAAATTGCAATATTTTTACATCATTTAGTTGATTTATGCCGATTTTAAACAATCAAAAAAATGAGCTCCATGTGTCAGAAAGATAGGCAATATGCAATGCAATGAATACACAACACTCAGTGGAATTGCAATATTTTAACAATATAATTGCTGCTTATTGCAATCTGTGCCACTTGGGAGAGGGCAGAGATCAGACCATAGTGTACCTCTATAAATCCTAATTTTTAGCCTAAAATCAACTTCAGAAAAATTAAATACTGGAAATGGATGTAAGAGCACGCTAATCGTACTTCTAAAAATGGTTGCATTGGGAAACTTGTCATCCGCTAAAATACTAAGAAACAACGTACCTGTTTGATTTGAATTAAATATTGATGTGAAGAAGTCAATAGAATTTGGTATGAAAGATATCATCGACAAAATTCCAACTCCCTGCGAAGAAAAAAAATAAGATAAAATACAATTTTAATTATGAGCGTACAAATGACAATTGCACGATATTAGGGCACAAAATAAAATAAATAAAATAATAGGAAGTAACTGGTTACAAGGGTACTTCCTTCATTAGTTGCGTGGTTGCAGGCGTGGGCAAGAAGATTTCTGGCGAAATCAAGAGCCCTTCCCCGTGAACTAAATTTTGGCCCTTGTTACAAGACCATTTGTAGCTATTTTGAATGTAATTTTTTTAATGTGAATTGTATTTTTTTAATCTGAAACTCTATCTTGTGTAAGGGCTTATATGGACGGAGTTAAACAGAAAGGAACCAAGCCACATCGGGATCGAACCGAGAAAAAGAGGTTTAAAGTTTGGCTCCTGCATAAGACTCAATGTAAAAGATAAACTTAAAGTTCAATTTCTGCAAAATTTGCTCCAACAAAAACTTTGAATTTTTGGCGATAGATAGTAGAGCAGTGGTTGAGTTCAAAACCACTCATAACTCAATTTTTTCCAAAATGTGGGTTGGTTCCTTTCTGCTTAACTCAGTCCATATTCCGTTGTAAACCAACAGCGAACTATGTTCGAACTATGTTCCTCTAAGTAATTTTCTAAGACATTAGGGAATAATCTCATCCATGCTCCTGACTTTTCAAATTTTTAGGGAGGAGGTTAAGTGGAATCTGTTTCTGTAGATCTACTTCTCGGTTCCGTGAAAATTTGTAATATAGTCAGACGCCTGCGCCTTGACAAAAAGGCCAATCTGATCGGCAGGAGTTGTTACAATTACCGCTTCTAGGTGCGTTTTCAAACTTACAAAATAGTAATATCCGGCGATGTATGATCCTGTCCGCAGGGATATACAGCAGCAGCAAGTACTCAGAGTAGGAATACTGTCAGTCATTATTCCTTATAATATCTTCGACTGAAAGAGATGCAGTTTCCAATTTATAAATTTGGTACAAATGTGCTGGTCCGTTGAGTTTTATGCAAGGACCTAAAATTTGAATTTTGAATGAATTAAACAAAATTAATGACACTAAAAAAGAAACTGTACAGGTTGAATTTGAGAAAAAACTCTTGAGTCAAATTTACCATTTTTTTTCTTTTAGTTTAGCATGTAATAAATATGAACAGATCTAATCTAAAATTTAAGAAAAAAATATCATTGCGAAGTCTTCCCAGTGCACGAAACTTAGCTGAAATTTTCCCGGCCCGCGATCACATTTTTATAGTTCGTAAAGAGTTTTCATTAAAAACTCCCACGCATTTCTGAAGAGGTGAGAAAAGCGAAAGCGCCTTCAGTTTTGAGCACGCAACACGCACACCCGTGAAACACGAATAGTTGCATCAAGGCGCCACAACCAACTCCCAATGCGTGTAGTATTCGTATGGGTCGAGATAACCAACAACTATACTTTTAAAAAAAGTAAGAAAAACATAAGTTGTAAACGTTATTCACATTACTTGTAAAATGTTTTGATACTTATAAGTTTTGCGCAAAATCTCGCGAATATTCCGTCAGGAGTCGGTCAATAAGGGACAATCGATGATTAAAGTATGAAATGGATTCAAAATTAATGACCGGCCGTAAGCGTGATTTTCAGACTTTTGACTGGCCAGTCCGTAAGCTGCCTGCCCGGGGGAAAAACTTTAGCTGGGCAAAGGAAGTGAACTGTCCACGAACGGGACAAAAAGTTGCACAGAATATCTGGAATGTTCAATTTTGCTAACGGGATGTAATGCGTACACTAAAATAATTGATTTATGAGAGGAAATTTGTAAGTGGTTTCAACTTACCTATGACACTACAACACGATCAGAGATGCAGAAACTAAGCTGTATTACCACAAGAATTCAAAACTTAAAATAAAAAATTAACAGATTAGCGCATGTCTTGGCTCAGTATACTTCACATGCCTCTTCCACTTATCCTTATCAGTGACTCATTATTGATCAACGCGTTCTTATCCGGAAGTACGATCATTTCCCGTGTTGCCAGATGTTCTATTTCAGTGACGAAAAGACTCATAGGTGGATGGATTTACCTGGAATTGACCTAACTATATTTCATGTTGCCTAATTTTTTCTGATGCTTTATTTTTTTATAAACAGTCAACTAAGCAACGCCAAAACTTAGTGAGAAGGTATGTTTATTATCGACGGTAAATTCACACAAATTAAATGCACAATTCGCAAGGCGTTAAGAAGCACAGTTCTCTCTCTCTCCAAAAAAAAAAAAAAAAAAAAAAAAAAAAAAAAAAAAAAAAAAAAAAAAAATGAAACTTGAGAAAAAACGAATGAAGTGTGGTTAGACTGATTCCGGTTGGATCCCTTCAATTTGAAAACAAAAAAAATTTATCTGTAGATGAGCTTGGAATACGCTGTGACTGCCGCATAATGGATCGAGTCAATAGGAGAGGTCGGACAAAACGTGGAACCTTTAAACGCTTATAACTTAACTTATACAAAACTTTGAGGCCCTAAACATGGCTTCATTGGTTTTCTCGTAAAATTTGCATGATGGGACACCCCTTAAAATTTAAAATGTGGCGAAATAAAGACTAAAATTTGCAGTTTCAGTAAAAAATGTTATGTCCGACCTCTCTAATTGATTCGATCCATCGTGTGCCGTGCCGAGAGTGATCATTCATTCGATGACTCATTTTTCGTGCTGAGAATTGGACCGCATTTTTCAATGTATACAATAGGGTACCACTATTTCTGGCTCGTTTTAGAAACAGCATATATGCCATTAGTTTCCCTAAGCAAAAAGGTGATTTTATGGAAAAGTCAAAGATAGTGGTTCCTTATTACAAAATGCAATACCATTGTATCGTGAGGTTCAGCTTTAGCAGCTAGGATATGTAGGCAATTTGACGCATCTCTATCACATGTTCTTATGTACGTACAGGTTTCAGGACATTTTGTCAACGATTTTTTGTTCGCGCACCTTTTTTGTCCAGTAGTTAACGCTCACACGTAAAATAAGCAACAGTGACTTGGTCCAAGCGTTATATTTTAGTCGGTATGTAAAATTTTATTGACAATATGAAATTGAGAGAGAAAGAGGTGTTGTTATGGTTGCTCATTTTCTAAATGAAATGTTACTTTCTCCTTTTTAGTTAGTTAGTTATTATAATTTTAAGACATTCAGCGACTCAGGCTATTAACGTCTTTACAAATAATTTTGAAAATAGGAGTATAAACGAAAATTTAGATTTTTAAATTAAGAGAGGTGAAGAGTTTTAGAATTTTGGTGGTAATATTAGGTTCATCGCATGTAAGAGGGTTTGTATTTCTGTTGGTTGTAGGGGAGTAGATCTGTGATTGGAGATATCGGAGGGAAGAGCAGTCCATAAGTATGTGTTTGATGGTTAGAGGTGATGAATTGCAGAAGTGGCAGATGGGTTGGTTTTCTTTAGATATGATATGGTTGTGAGTGAAAAAAGTGTGACCTATCCTGAGACGAGCAATTTGGACTTCACATGATCTTGATTTGTGGTTAGATGTTCTTGGTTCATCTTTTTAAATTGTCATTGGTGAATATATGGTTTTATTTGTATCCTTAAAATATTCGATGTACAATATACCTTACATATGTATACCTACTTTTTTTTATTTTTTTATTTTTTTTTACGAAATTATTACTTCATTTTGAAAACATTTTTATTTTTAAAACGTGCTATGAAAAATTTTTGTAAAACCTTTTCCAAGCGATGGCATTGATATTAATCTCAATGAGCCGCAGTTGTACCGAAAGAAACTGCAAAAATGAATAAGAGATGGGAAAAAAACCAAGAAGCACGCAATCTTTAGTTTTAACCCATTTTTACGTCGATCTTTAAGAGTCAAATACGTCAAATTTTGAGCGTTTGGTTGCGCGTACACCTCGCAGCCTCGCTGCAGCACAGTAAAAACACAAAATGTAAAATAAAAAATTAAAGTACCTTGAAAATCATTACATTTGACACGGAACCACCAATATTTAAAAAACACATTATAATATTACTCTCCTTTGATAAATTGATACTTATATTTTTTTCATCAATTTAAATGAGAATAATCAATGCAGAGTGTGCAAACATTTCAAAATCATGAGTTAAAAAACGCTGACTATGCGAGTATTAATATTAGAGCCTAACGGCGGAACGGCGTGCTGTCAGCGTGAGAGGCTCTTTGGCGCCTACAAACCTAAGTGGATACTTCTCGCATTGCACAATGCTTGAAATATCCACTTAGGTTTGTAGGCGCCAATGCGCGTTTCGCGCTTACCGCCCGCCCGCCGTGCGGCGGCGCCTGAAGCAACTATTTTACAACAGAGGTGTTGCACGGTATTATACGAAATTGAACGTATTAAGAATGACAGGCATCCTGTAAAAGTACAGATGTTTCCTCGCAAACTAAATCAAGATACTCATCGTACACAGGAAAAATCTGAGAGCCTTTAGCTGAGGCAAATATAGAGGTTTATCCGGTACAGGTATAACAAGGTGGGAATTTCTTGAAAGATAATTAAGTCCTGTTGCACCAAAGAGGTGCAAAGAGTTTTAGTGAAAGTCCAATGGAATTGACGATCCCTCATTTTTACCAAAAATCTCAATTATATATTATTCTCCGTTGGATCAAACAACCAAAAAACGTCGTGAGCAATTGTCGTTTGTATTTACATGTGGACTAATTAACTTTGGGTCTCAACTGGCACTTGGACCAAAATCTCCGTGCCGAAAAAACGCGCGGACGTAAATTATTGGGAAAAACAGGTGCGCGGACAAAAAATCGATGACGAAATGTCCTATAACCTATGTACACACTGGCGTCAACACAAAACCGCAGTTCTACAGTTTCCAAAAATTCAGATCTTAATAAAGTACACGTTGAATCTCTATCTCATAATTTATTTACATAAAAAATGTTTTTGCACAAGTGATTATTTTAATTATGCATAAAAATGTAAAATCTACTGATTTGATGAATGTGATAATGTTAGCATGTGATATAAAAGTATGCGGCGAAAAGTGGAGTCATTCCCTTGGTGATGCTTCCCAAGTTCCAACGTCTTAGACAGTGGCGCCCTCTCGCCTCATCTGTCTGTAATAACTATGAACCACCAGGAGGCAATACACATCAATCACTGAAAATGGGAGAAAGTCCTTGTCAGAGGAAATATTACCAAACAATACCATTTTTTATCACTCGACTATTAAAATTGATTTGATGGGGGCCCGTTTTCTGATGTTATGATAGAGAAAAAGGGAAAAAGCAGGGGCGTTGTTCGTCATCATTTTTTGAAATCAAAGGGCTTAAAGTAAAGGCAGCTCCCCAAAAATTTCTTCTCTTTGTCTCTATTTTGTATTCTTTGATGGTGATATTTTACCATGAAAACAAACTAAAATTGCATTCTGTAGATATGAGGAAAAAAGTAAACATGGAAATCCATTGATCTTTAATTCATACGGTGACTTATAGTTTTAACTTTCATTCCCAGTGGGGTTTTTTTCCGCCAACCAAGAGATATGGATGAATCAACATAGGTTTAGTGCAGTTTATCTCAGATAAATTTACCAGAAAATCGATTAGGTCTGTCAGATTTTATGGCCCGTTGAAATCGCACCCCGGAGTAGATTTAAGTTTATATAGTTCTTTCTCCCCTCGTTATTAGTGATTTGTACTTACGGAGCTCGACAAGTGTCACGCCAAAAACCGTGACATGTGAATTATACGCTTGATCAATCGATGCGTCTATAAGCTTGTCGGAGTATTTTTTCAAAGGTGATAGGTTTATGATTAGACCTAAGATGATGCTGTTAAGAATTGATACCATACTCGCCACCACAAAATATCGTACTTTTCTGGGTGAATCCTGAAAAAATTCAAAACACACATTATTCATTTCAAGCAACTGCACAATGCAATGTCAATACATTTTCGTTTAGTTCCTAAAACTTTGTGTACTTAATGCTAGGAATGACTGTTGAAAACACTGTTAAAAATCTGGGGGTTCATTTCACCACTCTTAGTTGTCAATATGAGCATTGTCATAATCCGTGCGAGTTCAAATGACGCGTAGCTCAAATCACTCAGCGACTAATAACAATACTACTGTAGTTCCTTTCAGTCCCCTCATGCGTTCACAGCCCTTCCGAATAGACAGTATTTTACTCAATTCGGCAGTGGCGTGGCTTGCTTTGTGATACATCGATTGATCTGCCATTTAAACCTACAGCTAAGGGTCGATAAACAAGGTGTTCCCTAGTTTGCTGATGAGCTCAACAGATTAGTGGATTTGATTCGGGGGAGGGGAAATAAAGTTCTTCAAGAATTTGGTCGAAAACGACCCGCCCAAAATCCACCCACGAAAATTTGCTTAAGGTGGTCATCTGATGTTTATTTGAAGTTGACATTTCAATATGGTAGAAACCATGGTTATGGCTATAACCCATATGGTTGACAAATTGGATATACTTGGATTTAGGTACCTTTTTGATTCCCACGATAAGGTAAATTGCGCAAATCGTGAAAATGAGGAGAACGAAGTAATATTCAACGATCATCAACCTCACAATAGTCAAACCTGAAAAATAAAATAAACGATGAGTGCCAAGAAAAAATGGAATATACCGAGAAATTTTTCGTAATACAATACGAGGGTTTCATTGGCTGGTTGAAACGGCCTCTAGAGAAGGTATGACATGTATGAATCATATGTTTTTTCTTCAAGATTTCACGAGGACAAGGAATCACACAATGGAGGAACTGGAAATCAACTTCTAAACAAGATATGAGTGTTTACCTCCATCTTGGCGTTCTATCGAGGTTTGCCACTCTTAGCTTCCACCCGTCCGTCATAACTCTTAAAAATGTCATAAAAATTGTTTCTGTCAGGTTGAATCCGATTTTATTATCTTTATCAGGACTTATAATTCAGAAAGTTGCATTTCAGATTATTTCTTTTCTTTAGACCCACAGATAATGATCAAATGTTATGTCATCGCTTTGCAAACACTATGCATACCTAGCTGGTTTTCTGATGGTTTGAAATTTACAGTTAAAAAAAATAGACTAAAATAAATCATCTCTTGCATTTTACTCCTTCATGTTCAAAGCTCTAAACTGTCCGATCAATCGCATCTTTACATTGGCATAATTAATTGTGAGAACCCGATTGCATTTTTTTTGTTCAGACTGTAGTGTTCTCTTTCATTGCTCTATTATGTACAGATTTTTTTAATTCAAATCGAAATTTAAAAAAAAAATAAAAAAAATAAGAAAAAAAATGCTCTCAGAAAATATCTGCCTCCGTTAGACTGCCTGGGGACACTTATCCCATGAATGATCACAAATTTGAGAGCTACACTCAAATATTTTTGGGGAGACATCCGCATTCTAAATGTTGCCTACTTATGATGCATAGTACTTATAACTACTTTTCCTTACTTAGAAAGTAACACCGATATTTACACCCTCCCCTCCCCTTTCACGATGGTAACGGATTGGAATAAAAGAGAGTTATCTAGGGGAATGTAAAAAAAAAAAAATTAACTTAATGCTCTTTCAAAGTACTTAAAACACAATACCTGTTCTCCTCCAATTTTGAAATATTTCTTTAAAGAGGCTGCCAGAATCTATGGAGAAACCTATCAATTCTATGATGTTGAAAATCTGTGAAATAAATAAATAGAAAAAAGTAAATAAAAATTTATATCAATGATTGTGTAAAATTAAAAAAAGATTTAGGTAGACACAACAAATTGGTTCGATGACGTTATCTTTTTACGATGGATTTTTAATAATAATTATAGATAAAATCGAAGAGTGGGGGATTCATATTTTAACCAACGATTCGCCGGTGTCCCTAAAATTTTGCGGGAATCAAGTTGGCGTCCCTAATTTACTGTCAGAAATAAAACTCATTTGCAAAACTATCAGAGTTGAGGTCGTAAATCCAGCCCAGTATTTATTTACCTATGAAAAAGTCCGCTTTCACCTCTGTAGCTGTTTTACTGAAATTTTTTTATCTAAAGTTGAGGCTCAATAATGTATTTATGAGGTGTCTTACGATGTGGCATCAACAAAATAAAACTCTAGGGGTGTCATTTTTGTCATCGTGAGATGATTAAAAAATGTAGAGCATTAAGTTTACTTTTTATGTTACCATGAACTTTACTCATATTTCAGAATTAGGCAAATTTACTCATTGTCAGTTTGAAATGAATTTTGTTAACTACATAAAATATTTCCAATTTTGCGAGGTTGGTAATAGGCTTAGCAGGTGACAAAAGCCAAATATTGGCAACGACCTTACTTAACCAGCCCCCACCCACAGATTTAACGCCATTTCCTTGGTTCTAAGGGCTCCATGAGACCCAGTGACACTCTTCAAATAGGCACTCTCTCTGATAGCATTTCGTATAAGACATACGTAGAGGTCAATCCTTGTTTCTTCTTCACCACCGTGTTTACCTTTCCGCATGACGTCACATGCTTAGGGATAAACACTCCTTCAGTCTGACCTCAAATAATGGTCATCCCCGCTGAATAAAATCAATACTTCTGTTTTGACCACATGTTTGATGTCCATAACGACTTCCATTCGTTTGCTCGTCCTCTCTACGCGCCAGCATAATTAAATTAGAAGTTAAAAACCATACGCTTAGAACTATATAATCTAAAATGTAACTATATAATATAAAATTCAACTATGTGATAACCGTAAACTATGCCACGAAGCATGCTTTTAAACTTACAGCATAGAACCATCCGATAATAAGTGAACCCGTTCGCAGCGATATGCAACACAAGCAGGAAGTGAATTCGGGTATGCACATTGTGCTGACTTGTGTATTCTTCAAGTGCAGAGGTTATATTTCAATATTTCTTGAAGAGGACGTTGCGCCGTTGATGTCGAAATTCAAACCTGAGTCAAGAGCAGACATTTCAAATAAAAATAAACAACATGCCTAGACGAATGAAAACGAATGGAAAGTGACAGGAGGAAAGAAGTGGAGTTTAAAAAATATTTCAACATTTTGAACACTTAAAATTTTACAATATTGTTGAAACTCACTTGCACGTGTATTTATATGTAGAGACGGCAGTTTTTGGCTATCGTATCCATCCTTCGGTACGCGACTGACAATGAGTGCGCGATGCATTCGTGCTCAGCTAAGCGCCGCGCGAGCTTTCAAACGTTGCCAAATTTTTCTTGAATTTTTTTATTTTTTTTAAAAAATGTAAATGTTTTAATTTTTAAATTGCAACTAAAATTACCTGAAAAATTAGAGAAAGGATTTGTAGGTTTTCTCTGGAAAAATTTGGCAATATCTGTATGCTCTTAGGTCATTCTTCCTCGGCATACCAGGATAGGTGAGACTATCAAAATTTTAATTTAATTTTGAAGTTCTTAAAGTTTTGAAATTTCAAGTCCTCCAGTAATACTTTCTGATTCAACTAAAATAAAGACGAGGAAAATGCTGATGGGGACGAGATAAATAATAAGAAGAATATGGCACATGAGGGGTATATCGCCCGTGGCATTAGTAAAACCAAAGGTGGCCCCTGCTGTATATCATCGTTTTTATGATTACGCCATTCGATTACACACAAATTCGAATTACCATAAGTCTCTGATTAAATTTTAAAAATGAAGGTGTTAAATTTACCAATCACGACCAATTCCTAGCACAAGTTGCGGCTATCTCACTTAGATCTGTGTCTCTCCCTCGCATCCGTCAAAAAGAATTACTCAAAGCAAAAGTCAAAATCAATTTCCAGCATTTAATGTTGAAATTCCAAAGTTCGGTCTGGATTCTATACATTTGCGAGAAATACTAGAAAAATTCGACGAGTGCTTGAATTTGAAATATCGGTCATAATTTAAATTACAATACGAGCTCGTATTTGCTGCTTTTATAGTCAGATTTTTAGCAGGGCGGAGAAACGTGGTGGATTATCCTCGAAAACGAGACGGCTAAAAGCTTGAGATAAACCTCAATTTATTCTTTTTACCAAAAATAATTTGTTCGGACATGTTGAAACTGACAACGGTGACTGATTGAAGTAATGCCATATTCTAGGGTTGAATTAGTGATCCAAAAAAATTCGAAAAATGCTTATTTTAATGTCCTTATTTTTTTAGAACTAAAATATGCTTCCTGGCAACGGAGCTTTCTGTGCATTAATTATACTTGGACGGATTTTTTATTTCATTTTTGAAATCATGAAAGTATGAACAATGCTCAGTCGTGGCATCGCACTTGAAAATAAACCTCTTATTCTGCCTCCTCGCGCTCAGATCTAGTCATGCTTGTTTTTACTAAAAATACTCCTAAAAATACGGTCAAAATCATGCACCGGTGAAATATATAAAAATATGGTAAAAAAACGCGAATTAGGACTTACCTCTGTCACTGGGAAACGAGCGTAGAAAGCTGAAAAACGCAGTTCCAAATATTACAGAATGGGAATCGTGAAATGTCAACCGATTAACACGTAGGTCGTCACTCAAAATACTTGAAATCCGCTGTATCCACTTATTGGTGACTCATTATGTTGATGTACCCACTTTGCGGAAGTGGGAGGTTTCCATCCTGTGTTGCAGATTCTTTATTTGCTCAAGGTATTAATCTATTTTTCATTCCAATGAGCAACGTTTCATCTAAAATTCAAACGAGAGGTCTCTTTTTTCGCTCAAAAATCTGTTCGTAGCGTTTTTTTTTAAGTTTGAAAAAGCATTCCTCGCTATTAGTTACCAAGAAAAAACTTATTTTCATAGTGGTTTATCTATCACAAGGAAACCCTATTGTGTTTTGTTAAGCGAAGTTTGCATACTTGAGTATTTTAAGCTAGCTGTCTGAGAGTGTTAAAAAACGTTTTTTTAAAAATCAGTTCTAACTCATAAAAAAATTATTTTATACAATTTACGCATCGATATAATAGCATAGGGTTGGAGAGATCACTGAAGGAAGCAATGAGCCCTTCTTAACACTGTACCTTTGTGCTTCTGTTACCTTCATAATTCTAAAAATGGCGATCATCTGTATAATCATAAATTTTACAAATTAAAAAAGACAAGTATGGATTTTTACGCTTTTAAATTTATAAAAACACAACTGCCCTAAAACTGTATTTTTTACCGGTGAGGTGCCCTAAGAGAAAAGGCATCTTTCAATTTTGTTTCTTTTTCTTTCTTAATTGGTTATTATTTAAACGTCTGTAACACTCATGCAATGGTTCTTCAAATTCGTTCTTTTAGTAAACCGCCTGAGTGATTCATCCTAGAAACGAGCAGGGTGCAAGTCTATAATATTTGAAGACCAAATTGGCAACAGCGTAGAAGATTAGATTAGTTTGTTTAAGCACTCACAGGTGTGAGAGAGTTGAATTTTAATGGTGCAATGGATGCGCTATCTCCCCCCATAGTCCGAGACAATTTATTTGTTCCCCGTAATGCTTCTCGAGAAAAATACACAATTTGACTACGAGATAGTAATTTAATTCGAACTATACAAATATCAGCCAGTTTCAATTCACTAGACGAAAGAGAGGGAGATCTAGTGCTTAATGGGTGGATTTTGTGATTAATTTGTTAATTTGACGCTCCCTGAAATCTCATTTTACTATCTATGCATCCATTTGCAATTAAGACTTAATGTATTGAAGTTCGAATATACAGTGCGCCTCAGGATTAAAGTACAATAATTTATAGTCCGAATATTTGAGTCAAAATAAGATTTTTTTTGTGTAATGGAAGGCAGTAGAAAATGCCTCTTAGCTCTCAGAACTGGCTCTCCAATTGTCCGGAATATCTCTTGTTTTATCTTCGATTTTGCCCATAGTTTTGTTCTTTCTTCGACCATGTGGAATAGAACCTTTGTATTTTTTAAAAGTACCTACTTTTAAGCGCGTCATGTCTATGGCACGCCTCTTACAATCACTGTAAAAGCTGTTCGGTCTCTGCAGGTCGATTGTCAAATCGATTCTGATCGATTAATCCCTATCTTAGGAATGCTTTTTATCGAGAATCGTCATTCGATATCGATTCAACAATCGCGCCGCTGTATTGAGTTGTATTTGTTGTTCGATTATTTTGAAGCCTTTTTGTGGCGGGAACGTATTTGAATTTTTTCATTGTGATAAACAATTCTTGAGAGCATTTAGATTGCTGGTAATTATTTTTAAATCAATGTCGTAATGAAAGTAACCCATTATATCTTTTCATCTGCCGCTAAAAGTCTTTCATTTTTACGTAGCTATAAATCTGTTTCGAACAAATCGCGATTTAAAAAACTAGCCTCTGTTTACACCTGCAAGGCATGAAACCTTGTCCGCGCCAGGGCCGAATTTACCTACTTGCCGCCCATGGGCCGCCTTTATTATGCCGCCCCCTTCTCATTCGTTATGAAACTCGATAAAAACCATCAAGTGAACGTGCCAGCGGGGGAGAGGTGCACAAGACGCATTTACTCGTGTTGAACACATTTTTTGGGAAAGCCCTATCAACACTGCTAGCAAAAGTTCACGGAACTTTGCACCAAAGTTAAGTTTCGTAAACCTACCTCTGTGTGGACAAGGCCTTCCATGTTTGGCGCAAAGCGTGAAGTATTCAGACAGTCTTGTAGGCGCTATGCGTTTCACGCCGACCGCTGCTGAACGCACTGTGTTGGACGCAATGCGTGAAGTATTCACGCAGTCTTGTGGGCGCTATCCGTTTCACAGTGACCGCAATGAGCGCACTGTGTTTGATGCAATGGGAGAAGCATTCGTGCAGTCTTGCAGGCGCTAATATGTGTTACATGCCGATCGCCGCGCCGAGGGCTTCTCATTTTCATCTCATGTCCTCGTTATCATTTCTCTCTAAGTCGCGCCGTTCCAGGCCAAATTGCGGGTTCTCTTAACTCGACTAATTGAAGGCACTGTCTCTTGTATCACTAAGAGACGACAAAATTAGAAATTACTATACTCTCAGTGAATGAGAGATTTTGTCGCCTTTTCTCGTTTGTAATTTTTTTGTCTAAATCTGATTTTTTTTAATACCTACACTTAAAAAAATTGTAAATTTTTGCCGCCCCTTAGATTTGCTGCCATGGGCCGCAGCCCATGTGGCCACCCCCTTAATCCGGCCCTGGTCCGTTCTATTTTCGAGTTTCGGATTGCTTATCATTGTGCGCAACAGACGACTGCGTGCTCTTTCCTTGTAATTCGTATGAATCGTGCATATGTTCCGCCATTGGTTAGTTTCACAGCTCATCAGCCAGAAAAATTTAGGTCAAGACGAAGAAATTTGGTTTCAATGGTTTCTTTTTTGGACACTCACAGCGTATAATGTGCGAAATGAACGACTACTTTTAAATATATAATCCCGCCTATTGTTTCCGATTCAAAATAGAGAAGAAAGATGCACTTTCCCGTACGGCGCTGAGTGTTCAGATTGTAACGGGTTTCATACGATTGTAAAATTTCAGTGCGTTTGTTCTTTTCAAAATGATTAGTAGTTGAAAGTTGTTTTTGACTTTCATTTATATCCGTACCTGCTGGCCTGCTGAACCTTAAAGCAATACCTGTTGAGAGACTCGAAAATCTGTGTGGAAATATTTTTGGAATTGAATGCAATAATTTTTTTAATTTTTTTAACTAATATCGGAAGATTATTTCACCATTTGGTTAGTAAATGCAAGAAGTAAACATTCCATCAAACCTATTCCACGCACGAGAGAGGTAAGCAATTGGGAGGAAAATAAGTCAGGGGGGATTTCTCTAGCTTCAAAAGGAAAGGGGATCCAGGGGGCCTCTCGGAAAAATTATGAAAAAAAAAGGATTCCTCTTAGAAGCAATGAAGCTATTTTCACGGAAAAATTAAGTCGTTATGGACAACATAAGAAGATACTTCTGACGATTTGACCATAATCCCATCGCTACGGGACAACTCGCTCCATCGCAACACTCCAGGTACGTATAGTTCTCCGACTTAGTCATCGAATTTCTGTCAAAATAGAAGTCTTTTTAATAAATTTTAATTATATTACATATAAAACGCAAGAAAGACAGTAGTCTATCTGAAATCAACGCTAATGCTAAATAAAGCCACTCGAAGTTCAGACTAACAAGAAAGTGACAGCACGTCAGTTTAGGATCGTCCACCTCTGTCAGTGGTCTGTCAACTGGTGCATTTAAATGAAGCTGCCTACGTTTAAATTGAGCATGTTCATTATCTAATGAGCTCCAGAATAAGGGCCTGCTCCTTAAGGAGCTCAAAGCGCATTAAGAATATTGCGCATAGGAATCGGCGCAATAAATGATCGAATAGGTTTTGAAATCGATAGTATTAACATATGACATCAGATCTTCAAGATCTTAATCAGACGAGAAACGAATGACAAGCTGAGATGAACCAATAAGCTGTGTTATTAGAGTTCACCGTGAAGGTTCATCCAAGGTTCGGATTTTTTGGAAAATCTTGAGGCCAAGATACACACGGCGATTGATCGCGGCGAGTGAAAGACGAAAGCCAATGGAGAGCCATGATTTCGATCCATTGACGTCAATGGATCGAAATCAAGGCTCTCCATTGGCTTTCGTCTTTCACTAGCGGCGATTAATCGCCGTGTGTATCTAGGCCTTTAAACAAAACATTAATGAAACACCACGTTTGAAATTCCATCGCATCAATCGTCCATAAAGTTTTCTAGAGTAAAATGACGTTCTCATAGCTGCTCTTGGAAAAGTTTCACTGCACACGGAAAAACAAGTAACACAATCCCAACTATATTCCTCGCTGATTCTGGAGCCGGATATAAGAGTAGTTGCACCAGTCAGGTACTACGGTATACGGTTGAGTCTGCTGAACGTAAGGTTGAATCAACTGTACCTCTGGCTAGTGCACCTACTCTTATTTCTGGCGCCAAAATCAGTCGGGATTTATCATATAAATTTAAAAAATGTGGGCATTACGAGTAGAGCTGAGCATACTCTACCCAAAAATTATAGTGTTTTTGGGGTTTACTCTACGACTTGACAAGCAGGAAAGCTAAATGGACCCCAAAGCGTGCTGGCAAGCCCGATTAAGTTTCTCTGTGTATATCTATCTAGTTAGGCAGCAGCCACCCATCTTCAACTTTTTTTTTTTTTCGGTGGTCAGTTTTTTAGGGGGAGTTTTTTAGGATTGGGCCGGGGTGGCTACGCTACCATCGCCTAGGATGGTTGGGATATTCTTTTTTTTCAGTGTATACTGAATCTGTTTCTTTTTCGCACCCCGGCGCAAAAATTTCAAAATTTTGCCCGGCTGGAACTGAACGCCTTTGGAGCGGAGCCATCGGGTTAACACATGAACTTGTTTCTCCGCGCGGATTGCATCGCCTCGCCCCGTCGCGAATCCCATTCACGTGCGAGAGCCATTCCCTCGTGCGTCTCGCACTTCACCCTACCGGGTCCAAAACAACACAAGTCCCACCGTTTCCCTAACGTAGATACGTCGTTCCAGCACGAAGCGACCGGACGAAACCGAAAGCCGGTCCTCCAGGTCGTCTGCGACCGACCGGCCGGCCACCCGCTGCCCTCGGACATTCCGGGCCGCGATGCCGCAACGCTCGCGTAACCCAAGAGCCTAATCAAGAAACCGCCTATCTGCATGGGGGTCTGGTTGGAGATAGGTTGTTTTTGGTTGGTGGTGCGTCGCATCCTCCCCACCGCGGTCGGTGGATTGACAGAAGCCGTCGTAGCCGAACGCGGTGCTGCCCGCCCGTGGACCAGTGATCAGTACGCGTTCTTCTTCGACACCGGCTCTAGGAGGTCTCCGTGGGTGCGTCACAGGTCTTCGAACGCGGACGCGAGGTTTTCGGCTCGGCTTAGCTTCGGAAGTTTTTTTTTTTTTTTTTTCATGGAAAACTGTTGTTTTTTAAAACATTAAAATTTTAAACTTCCTTTGATACAATTTGATGAAAACTCCACGGACTGTTCAAACTCATTTTGCAAAACATCTTATCACGTGACGAATTTTGTTTACTTTCTGCTCCTTGTTTTGGACCGTTACTACCGTCTCGTGTTTGTTTTCAGTAGGCTCTATTTTTTTGGATTTTTCTTTTTTTACATAATCACGCCTACTCCATCTTTTATCGATTCACTCATCTCTTGACTGGATCCTCGGTTCAAAATTCTATTGCTTTTTAAAATTAACTATTGCTCATACCAAACGAAACAGTTTCAAAGTTGATGGCTTGTTTTGTGTTCAGTAATAAAACCAAATTTTAAACTAAATTATAAGAGAAAGTGACTCTTGCAACTCGAGGTGTCATAATAGGCTGGGCATTTTGAACGGATCACTTTTGACTGTATGTGAGTTCATCATTCATTTCAGTGTGCTGAAAAGTTCTTAAGCAAAAATATATTGTTATCCGCGACTACGGCAAAATTTTGCCAGCCGTCACAGCTCTCTTGATATTTCAAGAAATGTTGATTGTCAGAACATTGAAATTTTAGTTTGAAAAATTGAAGGAACAGTGCATCTCAAAATGTGGCCAACTAAGTGTTTCGGTTGTTGTGCGGTTTTATGCTGGCTCGCGGTTAGTTATTACGTCGAGGCTGCCGGAAACATATTCGCGAATGCCAATAGTGCCAACAGAGAAGCGTTGGGGAGGCTCAAATCACCGATAGGAGCAACGCCTCCGCAACCGCCTCCACAAAATCACCAGTTTTTGGATGAGGATGAGCCAGGTACTCAAGTGTTTGACATTAACTCCTTTATCGTCTCCTGTATGTCGCGGTGCTGTATCACATCATTACTATGTGTTCTTTCTGTCAAAAATCCCATCGTGTTCGACGTCATGACCACATAGCTTGTCTGGTACGGTCATGTCAATTGGATGATGGAAGAGAGGCTGCCAAAAAAGATGCTTGATTGGGTTCCTCCTGCGGGAGGAGACGAAGGGGACGCCCAGTGAAAGGGCGGTGATAGGGGTTTTTAATGAAATGAGGGAGTGCCAAGTCCCTGACTGGTTGTGAGAGGACCGATTTGTATGGCGGTTCGGCGTCGCAGAGCGCCAAAGAACCCTGTGAAAGCGACTCTTGTGTATGAATTCTTTCTATCTCATCTCTTATTTAGGGTGTCCCAAGGTTAAATACGAATATTTTTGGAGTCGCTTTTGGGATCAAAATAAGGTTGTTTGTCCTACCTACATCGTTTACCCTGAGAAACCCCCTTTAAAACTACAGCTTTTCAAAGTTTGGGCCAAAAAACCGTTTTTCCTTGATTGTGAGAACAATGAAGGGCTTGGAGGACAAAAGGCGCATAAATACAGATTTTGCAATTTCAAGAAATAAGTGTTTAGATTTTCGAAATTACATGGATTGTAATGGCAGAAAGAGAGTTCAAACTGATTTTTTGATGCAAAAAGCTGCACTTATGCGCCTTATCCTCCAAGCCCCTGAGTTATGAAAGAAAATGCATGAAAGTTGGCACCTCCATGTACTTATACAAGCTGAACATATTCTCGATTTTAAAAGAAAATCGGAATCATCTACAGGGAAGTTGTGGGAAAGATGCTGTAACTCTGAGGGAGGAGATTTTTGGGGAAATATTATACAACAAAAAATTCTTATTTTGATCCGAAAAAAGATTTTGAAAATGTTCGCTTTTAACTTTGGGACAAATGGGACACCCTTTCCAATTTTGGGTCGACAATGGCAAAAATAAGGTATTTATACCACAATTGGAGGATATTTAGAAGTTCTCTCAAGAACATTTTGTCTTTGTTTGTGTCGCTGCTATCGATGGCGAAAGCATCAAACTCCAAATTTTGGTTTGCGATGTTGCAGATCTCCTGTCACATTATATTTATTTTTTTTTTTTTTTTTTTTTTTTTTTTTTTTAAATCCATCGAAACTACTTAGCCAAAAATGACTTTTTCGCCGGAGAATTTCATGTTTTCGCTGAGCGATCATTTAGCAGAAAATCTGGCACTTCTCAGTATCATTGAATTCTCTTTTTTCGGCAAGCCATCTGATAATTTTGTCATGGACCATAAATCACAACTCCAAAAACAAATAAATTATGCACAATTTGACAATTTTCCTTGGCAGCGTTCAAGTCTCCAGGAGTAACGGTGGCGAAGCAAGCTAGGCAAAGTATAACTAAATTTACATATTAACTATTGCATAATGCCTTGGTTTTATTATCTTATTTACTAGGTATTGAACTCTTCTTCATTCGTGCTCAATTTTATAATGATAGGAGCAATAATACATTCTTGAAGTAATAAAAATTGCCTGCAGTCCATTGCCATCACATATCCTCCATAGAAAGACGCAACTACCTGCCAATTTCAGGTGAATTCTTTCCTAAGAATTGTTCTCAAGGCTGGATTAACTACGATCCTGATAAACCGTGGTGACGGACAAAGAATTCGATCCAATAGATCAGTTTTTGTAAAGCAAGCTCAAACTTGATGGATTAGTGGTATGGTATGCGTCTACCATATCTAAACGTTGTCTTCGATATCATTGCGAGAAATGGTTAATTGGATAAAGCTATTAATTTCTTTCGTATAAAGCAAAGTAATACTCGTAAAAATATGCACAGCTTTTCTTTTCACGAATTTCAAATCGTCTTATGAAGAACACATCAGCTGGGTGAGTCGTTCAGTGTTCTGTGTACCTCCGTCCACAGCTAAACTTCTGTAAATCCATCCTAGATTTTGAACCGCACATAATGTTCTATTAAGAGCAAGCATGGACGTAAATATGCTGGAAGAAACTTTGTGAAAATTCCCTGACGATAAAACAAAAGGTTTAATGTACACAAGATTTCGTGTATCGCATAAAACTTTTTTATATAATTCATTTTCACACACATGTATACGTGCTTACGGTTACCAATATGCTTCATTTTGTCAGTCACCATTGGTGAAACTGTAGAAACGTGTATCTCAGTTTGCAACGTTGCTGACTTCTGGTCATAATTTATTTTTTAAACGGAAAATTACCCTTCGCTAATTTTTAACAGCTCTCTTTACTTTTTCTTTCTCTCTAAATAACCGACCGTGAAAATTGCAGTCGACAGTGTTGGCTCGTTCTCAACTGAGAAAATAAGAAAGGAGATTAAAGAAAGTGATTTTGAAACACCGCAAACGAAATACGTATTTTTGCAGTTTCAGTGTCGTTATGTCCTCAGTGGTAAGCCACAGTTATTCTAAAAGTAAAATTAATGCATGTCTGTAAGTTTTCCTGTGATTAAACATTATGTCTGGAAAAAAGTGAAAAAAGATACTTTTAGAAAATTTGCTAAGGAAAGCAGAACGATATTCAATGTATCCAGTCTTATACTGAATTAAATGCAGGGTGGCTGGAATACTCCTGACCTGTGTAACTCATAAAGATACATGTCAACCTTGTCGAGGGCTCAGGTACCGATGCTTGGGTTGAAAACTTATCTGACATTGAATTAAATATTGAAAAAGTTATATATATTTATTCCCCAAGTCCCTGTTTATGACAGTCGGCACTTAGGAGTTATCTTCGAGTCTAGATTCATATTTCAGACCCTCAGCAGGATCTTCAGTTCCATTTCAAGAAAAGATAAAAAGAGAGAAACCAGTATTAATCGCTTATGGTCAAGCTGACAATGAATTGTGATTTCTCTGGTAATGACGTTTATTTTGGTCTCGAAATTGATGGGCGGATTATATTCCGCCGATTAAAAGGTTACCAACTAATCAGTGCGTGAGGTCGTGACAAAGGGATTGGGCGTCGCGCCGCTCGAAAGGGCGTGAAAACGGTTTAAATTATCTCAAAAGTGTAAAATTATCCTTTGAGAGACTGAGCTGAGAAGTATCATTGTTGGAGTTTCAACCGTCATTGAATACAGGTGATCTATTGACGACGGAAATGTTGTAATAACAACGCACAATCTGTTACAGGGCATTTGTATTTAAGTTTTTTCTAAAACTCCACCCGTGGGTTTATATTTTCTGCCTGCTTAATCACATCAAAATCAGATTTAAATTTAGCTTGATTTGTTGGTGACACAGATACGGGCCATTAAATAGTACTAAATGTTTATCTCTAATGGATTGATCACCTTAGGCATTCACTTCTGCGCAGTTTGTTTCCGTTTCATGGAACACTCTAGATAAGTAATTTTTCCTCGCTTCCGGCATAAATCATAATTTTTTGTGGGAAAGGGGTTCTGGGGAATGGCACAGGCTTTCGAAAGATTGCGGGAGGTGGCACCCGGTATTCTTGTAATTATCTTTGAGGATGCTTTGGAAATTTACAAAATACATTTTTTTATAGACCGGCCCTCTGCAAAGGGCAAAGAATCTACATGAGAATTTTCAAGAGAATTATACCAACATTTTAAGATTTTATTCTGCCGCCCACAGCAAGAACAATGCAAGTTCACGCCGGCCTTTCCAAAGTTGTTTGCAACAAAATTCTCTATCAAAAGAGTACCTGCACTAAAGAAAAAGTTACGGGCTATATAGACACACCGTCCGTTCCGGGCTCAGAGGTCTGAAGTTCCGGGCATTGGAGCCGTAGCGTCGATTACTCAGGGTGCTGCGCCCGGAACTTTCTGCTTCTGAGCCCGAGAAACGGACGGTATGTCTACATAGCCCGTTAGTACAACTTCCACGGCGGAAGTTTTTTTTTTTCAGTGCGAGTAAACATGTGCCTTTTCATGCTAGTATTAGTTCCCAACGACATGATACAATCACCCTGCAGATGTAAAAGGTTATCGTATGCTAGATTTCCTGAAATAAAAAATTTATCAACGGAAAATTTTTCAAGCTCAAGAGTAAATTTTTAAGCGAAACTTCACAACATTGCAATGCAATAATTAAGCCCGACTGGCTCTTACACCTTCAAGTATGCAACGGCTCAAAATTAATCTTATAAAGAAACTCAATTTATCAGCGTCGAGTACAAAATTTCAAAAATGCCTCTCCTGCATTTTAAAATGTTGACTGTACAGAGTTATGACTACGTATCACTAAAACCCCACCCTTACTCAGAGAATCCTCCCCCCCTCACAGTTATTTTAAGGAATTTACGTAGCAAATTGCCAAGATTTTTCCGCTATCGATAAGTAATCTCCTTATGAGTTCCTGATCTTCAGATATTTGGCTTGTGATCAGGTATTTTATTTTTGCGAAATATCCATTTAAAGTGGCAGATACACCTAAAAGTTACAAGCGCTCGTTGAAAGTGAAACACCAATAGGGAACCAGGATTTCGACCGCTCGACGTCAAGCTATCAAAATTCTCCTTGCCTATTGGTGTCTCACTTTCAACAAGCGCTTGTAACTCGCAGGTGTATCTGGGCCTTGAAAGTGGAGAGCCTTAGTGGTTTGGGGTACGTAGCGGCCAGGGGGGACCCCTAGTTTTTTATGAGCGAACGGTATTTTTGTCTTCGATAATTCGTTTTTAATTGGCTTCCATCAACACATTTTGTTCGTATTACGATCATCGGCGCCGCACCCACGTCCCACGCTCAATCAGGAAAGCGTGTCAGGTGCAGCTAGATCAAAGGCTCGCCGTTAGATTTTTTTGACCGGATTCTTGAAAAGTGGATCACCCGCTTGCCTTATCGGGTGGGTGGCCGGCCGATGTTGCTGATCGAGTTAGGAAACTTCACGATTTTCATTCACAGCAGAGCTGTAGGCGATGTAGCATGACATTTTGTTTTGATTTAATTACGGTTTATTTATTCACATGCT